TGCGTAGCGGCAATCGCCACGGCGCTTCGCCGCGCCGCGGAGGGCGGCGTCAGCGGATTACGACAGTTCACCCCCGCGGGCTGGGAAGTGCGCGCGAGCGTAATTCGAAGGTGGCTTGTGCACGCGGCCTGTTGTAATCCCGCACTGTGGAGGCGAGAGTTGGTGGATCGTCACGCAAATGTCACCTTAAATGCAGGGCCGCAAAAAATGCAGACTTCCCAATCTGTTCCATCTGTATGGGGTAGAGTGTTTCCCCCCCCCCTCGCGCGCGGGGGTTTTCTCCGGCTGATCTGGATTCATACCCAAAATAAAAACACCGCAATGTTTACAGGACAACAGAGCTTGGGCAATGATTGCGCCTGACTGCTGCCCTTCCCGCTCGTCTGCGGTCCCCCCTCACGTCCCCGCGTCGCTCTCTCTCCTTGCGTCACGTTACAAGTTGAGATCATTGTTTAATCATTCGACTATTTACGTTTCCTTCACTGCTGTTTCTTCATTTTATTTGCTTTTCTTTTGTCAGTTTGGTGACCCCCCCCCCCCCGGTCCCTTGGGCTCCCCCCATGGCTACGCGAAATCAACTCTTGACTTCCTTTTTATTTTACACGCCAGAGAGAACGTCCCAATTGTGATCTCGCGTGGGATGAGACGGTGAGGCGCTGCGCATTGCTGCAAACGCAAGCTGGGACCAGGGTTCAAAGGTGGGCAAAGCGCTTTGTACATCCGCTGCTGCAGGGACTGTGGACTCTGCCGCCCGCCCGCCCACGATATCTGCAACCTATTTTAGCGACGGTGGAGGCCGTCTGCCAAGTGCTGATAGAACAACTTTCCACGATGGATTACGGAGAGCACTTAAGGGCCTTCAATTAACGATGACTGGGTCATAGTGGTGGTGGTGGTGGTACTCGCACATTAGGCAGGCATCTCTTCACCTCTTTAAATAAACGCAACGCTCGACGCGTATGGGGTTTTCTTTTTTTTAAACCAGGGCGAGTGATCACGTTGCACCCATGAACTTTTGTTGTTGAAAGTGGCCGTCTAGTTGGCATCGTGGAGGCACGGCGACGTTTGAGAGTGGAGGGCGGAGGCGTTTGGTGCGTTCGGGCGACGGGAACCCTCGGCCGACCCCGAGTTCATCTCCCTGCTGCGCAGGATTCGGGGACAATGTGCAGCATTTTTATTTTATTTTAACGGCCCTAACTGCAGCACCCACAACCGGTGTTGATCACCGATTGTACGTGTGGTTCGCTGTGCACTGTTCCGCCTGTCACGTGGGGTAAGGGGTGAGTCTTGGGCCAGGGTTTTTACAGGTGACACCTTGGTTACAGCCCAATCAAAGGGAATTTTTTTTTTACGACTAGATTCTTAACTCGACTTCACATCGCCTTGGCCACTGTGAGAGAGGCACGTGGCAATCCGCGCCCCGACGGCCTCGTTTATCAAACGGCGGCCGATCCCGGATCCTTGGCGACATCCACGCAGCTTGGTTCCATTCAGAAGGCGCGGAGAGGTTCGCCTTAAGTGTTGCGAGTCGGTCGATGGGACAGACGGCAACGTGGCCACGGGTCTCATCGCCGTCCAGACGTAGTGGTCGGGGGGGGGGGGGGGGTGAGGTCGGGCCAGACCAGCTGGGGGTGCTCGAGGAAAAGTAAACTTGGTGAGAACAATAAGGAGGAGTAGGAGGAGACCGTAGCGAGGAAAAGCACGCAGCAAATAACCTTGTGCATCACCTCGCAACGTGAACATCCACTACTGTATCAATCTGCTACAGTAGCCACGTGTGGGGGGCTCACGTTGCAGTCAGAGGAACAAAAGACCTTGGCGTGACTTTGAGATGCGCTCGCACGGCTTGTGTGTTTGCGGAGCCCGCTCAGCGGCGCGGATGAATACCAGCCGAGTGCCCGCCCCACTCGTGCAACTCGCACGCGAATGTGTCTGTGTGTGTGTGGGAGTGCACACGAGATTGTGTGTGTGTGGGAGTTAAAACGAGAGTGTGTGTGTGTGGGAGCGGTAGTGTAGTGGTTCGCCCACCGCGCTATGAACCCGGGGACCCGCGTTCGATTCCCGCTCACGGCCAACACCAGTGACGATTATCTGAACCGGCCCTGGGGCCTCCCCGAGGTCGACTCAGCCTCAAATGAGTACCTGGTGTGGTGCGTAAACATCGTCACTGGGGCGACAAAGGCGGCCGGGCGTGGTGCTGGCCACCCACCCCCTCGTGTGCCGTGTCGGCCTTCATAGGTGCTCTCTAACAGCACTTGCTCCAGCAGTCTGGTAAGGCCACACAGGGGATCTTTGTGAAAGCGGGGAGCGGGAGTGCAGCGGTTAGCACGCTGCCCTACGAACCCGGGGACCCGTGTTCGATTCCTGCTCCCGGCCAACATCGGTGACAAAGATGTGGGCCTCCCCTAGGTCGACTCAGGCTCAAATGCGTACCTGGCGCGGTGTGTGTAAAAAGAAAACACCGCCACTCGGGAAGACACCGAATTTCTGCGTTAATTGAACTTCACTCGCGGCACGCACCGCGAGATCAAAGAAGAACCACGTGGGGGGGACGCTGCGTCATCCGCCCGTGACAGTGCCCGAGAGTGGCAGCAGGAACGCCCTTGACAGTCATTCCAACAAGCAGATGGATGCTCTTTTGGCTAGTTCCCTCAAGAGGTGAATAACAAAACAAATTGGTGCGAATTAATGACTTATTAAAAATATTTTTCTACGTTTATGTCCTTTATAATGACCTTTTGTTGCGAAAAAGTTGACACTGGTGGTGTATGTTTTTAGGTGATGAGTCGAGTTGGAATGTCCGAAACACATCCCTATTTTTTTGTATTTAATGGAAAAAGCCATTCCGATTTACGACGATGATGATGATAATGAATTTTTTTACGAGGCATACAGCTGTTGACAAGTTTATGGTCACACCTAAAACAATATAAAATCCCACGCGCTGGGTGTGGGCCCGCAAAGTTATGGCCACGGTTACTCGTAGGGCAAGTTCAGCCGCAAGTCCTAAATGCCATGAAGCCTCAAGCGACACGCTCATGAACGTGCAATCCCCATTGGTGAAGAGCCCAGTTGTTTTATTTCCATGGAATGAGATGCCCAAAGCCAATGGTAGCGCTAAGCCAAAGGCAGCTTTAGCGCTCGTTGCAAACAATGTGCCAGTTATGAAAATAATGATGACAAAGATGATGATGGTGGTGGCGAAGATAGCGACAATTAAAATGACGCTGATGATAGCAGCAGCCGATAACGATTCACAACCCTAAATCCACCAACCCCCCCCCCCCCCATCTTGTGCCAATCCACCAACCCTTATCTCGTGATTAAGACTGCGCTTTACTTGCGGGAGGAAACTGGAGTACAGTAGTACCTGGAAGAAATCCACACAGGGACGGGGGGATAATTTTAAACATTTGCCAGGGGGTCTGCGTGGGGGGATGGCCACGTGGTTTCCCCCCCCCCCCCACGCCGAAAGGAGTGTCCTCGCGTGACCCACGTCAATCGTCGTTTCAATCATTTCGACACCCGGCGTTTCACAGAACGCTTATCGTGTTCGAGGACGCCGCTGCACATCACGACCCCGAGGATTGTAACATTGGAGCTGGCGCGCTTCATTTGACGCAACTTTGGGGCTCTCCGGGACCGCGGAGCGGAGCGTCGTGCGTTGCCACACTCTCTTCGCTCCGCACTCGCGTCAGACATTCGCCTGACACAAAGAAAGGAAACGTGGATATTTACGTTTCACCCTGGCAGTACGCGGAGCGTTTAAACCGCACTGGCGTTGGCGACTGTACTGGGGCTGTCACTGGTGGCTGCAAAGATCCCCCGTATAGCCTCGACAGACAGGAGGGGCAAGTGCTGTCAGCGAGCACCTACGAAGGCCGGCACGGCACGCGAGGGGGTGGGTGGCCAGCACCACCTCCCGGCCGTCTTTGTCTCCCTCGTATCGATGTTTACACACTGCACCAGGTACTCCTTTGAGGCCGAGTCGACCGAGGGGAGGCCCAGGACCATTTCAGATAATCCTCACTGTGGTGTTGGCCGTGAGCGGAAATCGAACTCGGGTCGCCGGGTTCGCAGCGCGGCGTAGCGCGCTAACCGCTGCACCACCGGTCCCCATGGCGTGCGACTGCACTGGGGCTGTCACGTGCACGGCATGGAGAACGGGATCAGGGGGGCGGGGGGGGGGGCGGGGGGGAGGTGCTGCGCCGCTATTTACGGAGCCGCTCGTTTGGGACGCCGTTGCATCATCGGGATTGACGCAATTGTGCGACTCCGTGTCGGCGTCCAGCAATTTGAGAAGGTGGAAACCCGACGGCGGACTGCGGCGGGCGTCAGCACGCGGGAGGGCACAGCGCGTCCCAGCACGCGCTTTGCCCCCCACGACCCTCGCGCCGGGCTCTCTGCTCCACCTTGTCCGGCCTCACCCTCTACGAGCCAGGCGGCCGCCACCGACGCCGACGACGACGATGCCAATTCACCAACAATAGCGAGGGCTCGATTCCCGGCTCGGCAGTTTGTGTGTTTCTCTCCCCCTGTGCTGCATGGGTTATCTCCGTGATTTCTTCCCACAACAATAATAATCTCGGTTTTCTTTCACAGCGCAATTCGCACAAAGCCTCAAAACGCTTTACATGAAGCTTACGTTGTGGAGAGACTTCACATTCCGATGTGTGCAGCGGAAATTTCCTCCCGTACGATTTCATGCGGGAGTCACTAAGTGTGGATCCCATTGTCCATGTGCACAAGTTACACCTGTTGTCTAAGCCACGGGCGACCGCGATGAATTCGCCCCGAGATCTGCGTGGATCGCACCGCCGCCTCCCAACACTGCAGCCGATGCCCATCGCGCTCGCGCCGCGTAAGGCGGCTTGCCACCGCACGTTCGAGCATTGCTTGGATAGCGAACGCCAGACCAGTGGCAATGGAAAGAATTTGACGACGGGCAACTTGGCCGCATTTAACGGACTCACGCGCGCCAGGCGCGTAGCGAGACTCACCGCCCGCGTACATGATGGCCAGCATGATGGAGGAGATCCACGCGATCTCGCTGTAGGAGGCGTCGAACACCTCCTGGATCTCCTTGTAGAAGACGGTGATGGCCTTGGGGAAGGCGTACGAGAAGCCGATGGAGATGAAGGAGCCAACGAGGACGGCCCAGCCCCAGCCCCCGTCGGGCGGGACATAGTCCAGCTTCACGTTCACCGGCGCCGGCATTGCGGCGGTGGCAGCGGCGGCAGCTGCATGCGGCATGGGGAGGGACAAGACGCTGGCGTCACACAAACTCTCTGGCACGTGTCGTGACGGGCGCTGCGAGATCGACACCGTGTCCGTCCGGTGCCTTCCGTTTGCCGAACGAACACGTTGCGAGGTCGCACTCGTTACACACAAGGTGCTCGCCACACATGAACCACAATGCCACCTTGGCTGATCGCGTCAAAGAACATAAACCATCGCGCGACACTCCGGTTAACAGCGCATCAACGTCTTTTGGCTGCTGGCCATTGAACAAAGACGGTCGCCGCATCACGCGCTCTCAGATGCGCTTTTGCGGCCGTTTGGAACGCTCTTCTGATATTAGGAAGCCACTAGAGCTATGCACTTTTAAATCATAAAGATTGAAAACTCATTTCTTTGGAACTGCTTTTTTATATTTAGCTTGTTTTCCTTCCCCCCGCACCTCCGATTAGCACTCTTGGCTACGTAGAGTGCAAAATAAGTCCAGCACATGTACACACGTACGTTACGCGTGGAGTGGTTTTCGACGCATCGCCGCCCGGGCGACTCCGAGCGCTCTACGTCGTCGCACCTCGTTGCAACATGGGTGAAAGCGCACCTCCCCCCTGCATCCGAGGCAGCCATTCCCTGTGGGCACATTGTGACCCAGCGCCTCGCCTGTAATCGGGACTTTAGTCTGCCAGGAGGGGGCAATGATTATTGCTGCTGTGTGTAATCCAAATAGAATAATTTTGCTTTTCATTTTTGGAATTTGGGAAAATGTTGAATGTGACACTGGGACACAATAGCCTACATCACGGAATCTTTAACATCGATTGTGAAGCAGACGGCGCGTAGTAGTATTTCACGGTTGACGCATACGCAGTCATAACCATCCGCACAGTCTGGGAAATTTGCATCTTTGTCCGGGTGGCAGGAATTTATTTGAGATCCAGTACTGGTTTTGTACTGAACGTTATCACCGGACACTGCACAGTGCTGATGAGACCGACGGAGACACGAGTCCAGATTTGCTCGGTGGGGAAAGGTGGCGACTCCATCTCTCGCTCCTGAGGTGGCAGCCTTCCAGACCGCGTCTCTGGGCCCTTCTCTCATCCTGTTGCAGATGCTCCTTTTTAATTCATTCGAACGCGGTCACTTCCTATCAGAAAACTGGGGTTGGCATTTTACGGTGCGATGAATACTTTACATTTGAAACCGTGATATGCTCTCTTGCCTCTCGTGTACTCTGAATATTTACATTTTAGAATGCTCCGAATATTTTAATTTGTAACAAAAAAGTGTTCTAAACATTTAAAGTTATTGAGCCTTGAGCTTGCTGCGTATTAAAAACGAGTGGACATAGGCCAGGCTGACGGCCGTGTAGCTACAGAAAATAACTCGTAGTATTGTACAGGCTTTGATTCGACCTATTAACCGAATTAGACTACCATTTGGATCATCACGCATCTGATCCCACAAACCAGACGACACTTAAACCCTTGCGACGTGTTTGAACTCGACAACCGAAAAAAACTGGCAGCAGGTGCGGTGATTCTGGGCTACGAGGATTGCGAATTCCATCGCTCCGTCAGCGAGCGGTGGTGCGTGAGTAGTGGACTCCCATCACACCTGAAGCTGCGTCGACCCGACCCATCTCCCAACCCTCCCACACGCTCAGATCTTTCTGAAAATCCACAGTATGTCGTGTTACCTCTATTACCCATAGGTGAGGCCGAGTGCATTGGGCGCCTTGGTGGCAAGATGTTACCTACCTCGCCTGGTCTACAGGAGGTCGTGCGTTCGACCCCGACCCTGACGCCTGCTGTATATTTGGAGTTTGCGTGTTCACTCTCCCTGTGGTCGCGTGGATTTTTCTCTGGGCCCTCCGGTTTTTCCCTCCACATTTAGAACCAACGTGCGTCTAGAGTATTTGGCTGCTCGTACATTTCCACACGATGAGCCATCTTCCTTGAGCTATCATCTGTTACAGCCACGTCGCTTCTGAAACAGAGAGCTACCGTTCAACTACATTGGTCAATGGGGCCCTTACCTGGTAAAAACGTAAATAAATAAATATAGTTTTCCCGTGTGAGAGTTGCTGGGAGCGCGGGGTTTAGAAACGAGCGCGCATGCCAAGCGCCTACGTGCGTGAACGAGTTTACACACAGCGCTAATATTAATCGCGGAATCCTTTCCCCCAAATCCGCTGGAAGACGGCCATGCATATCAGTGGGGATGGGGGGTGGGGGGGTGGAGGTCAGGGGGGGGGTTAGAGGGGGGCGGTTAAGGGGGGTTCGGTAAGGGGGGGCTTAGGGGGGTAAGGGGATGTTCATGAGAACTGTGGCGAGCGCACGCAAACATTCACTCGCCATTGTCCGAAGCAACGGGGCATCGCAAACGAGAGGACGGCCGACCCCTCACCCCCTCGCTGTGCTCCAGCCACGCGACTTTGAAACCGACGCGAAATACTTGGCAGCTCGCTCAGACGAAAAGGGCCCCTTTGACCTTGCAGCGTCGCTCACGTTGTCCGTTCAAAGTGAGCGACCGAACTTCGTCGACTCCCGCAGAGGTGACGCGGCGAGCGTTTGTGTATCGGCGGGCGCTGGACACGCCGTGGTATTTTCCATAATAAGATATTTTGGGGGGGGGGGGGGCGGTTCGATCGCATAAATATGAATGCGTCGTTAAACACGCCGCCACCCGACACAGCCAATTAGTAAGGTTGGTCACGTGAACAGAACGTGCCAATTCGTTGCTAGTACATCACACCGGCGTGTTGGAGAGACAATCCACAACATTCACGACGTTCCACCAGTAGCTACAATCGGCATCGTCGGGCGGCAGCCAGATTTTTGTTGGGGGAGCGGCGGTGCAGCGGTTAGCGCGCTGCGCTACGAACCCCGGCGACCCCCGAGTTCGATTCCCGCTCACGGCCACCGACACCGGTGACGATTGTCTGACCCGGTCCTGGGCCTCCTCTCCTAGTGCGGTGTGTAGTAAACATCGCCACTGGGGACACAAAGGCGGCCAGGCGTGGTGCTGGCCACCCACCCCGTCGTGTGCCGTGCCGGCCTCCACAGGTGCTACTCGCTAACAGCAATTGCCCCAACGGTCCGCTAAGGCTACACGGGGGATATTTGAACCTTATAGCGGTACCCCGGGGTTCCATATTACCCCGGCTCTCGCACGATGTCCGTGATGCAGTCATTTTTAGTCTGTTGATGGTCGGCGATGCGGCAATTGACTCATCTCGACGAGTTGTACACAATGCACCACCACGGTGGGTACCGCGAGCGTTCAGGGTTTCAGCGCAATCGTCCTCGCTGCGTTTCAACATCGTGGAGTAGCACTGATTTCGGATTGATTGGTACTCCAGTCGTGGAGTTTAATAAGTAACACCCCTGGGAAAAATGAGGATCATTTGTCTGTGTTTGTTTGAGTATCAGCAGGAGTTGGCATGCCATTGTATTTCGCTGGTATGCAGAGCCATGGGGCGGCACCACGAGATCTCGGGTGTGGGGGGGTCATTGTGACGACGACGACGATGACGACCACCAGCAGGTTACAAAGACTCTGGGGTTGACCTATGAGCCGACTGTTGATGACAGATGCCATCGCTCAGGGTGGTGGTGGTGATGTGGTGGGGGGGGGGGTGAAGTGTGGCCACCGTCAAAACCCGGACTCCGCCTGCTCAGCGCACACCCAGAACGGTTCGCGATTGTCCGTCCTAACACCACGGGCAGTCCCCCGGGTCGCCCAGGTAGAGCAAACAAAACGTTTCTGGCAAATGCCGATGGCTCCTCCTGCACTCCACAAAATGCCGGGGAAATCTCTCGCTCTGCTCCGCGGTTCCACCACGGGTGGGACCTTCCCAATGCCGTCCACTTGAAGGGACTCTTGCGTTCAAAGCGTCGTACGTGACTTCCACTCGGAACGCGCAACTGATGGCCACGTCCGTGCAGTTTCTACTGCTCCGGTAGGGGGGGGGGGAGAACAATTTTTTTTTCTAAAATAGAGAAAAAGTTCAAAACAGTTGAGTCAGGCACTCGACTACCTCCGAGTTTAGGAAATCGAAATTTCGCTGTGGGTGAAGCAGTTCACATTTTAGTTAGCACTCCAACATTTTGATTGTTAGAATCATGCGTTTAGAACATTGCATCACAATACAACACTCAGCAGAGATCCATCGCTATGTTTGTACACATCAGGAGTTTTAGGGCGCGATGTTAACTACCTCGCCTGGTATACAGGAGGTCGTGGGTTCGAGTTTGCTTGTCTCTCTCCCGCTGGTCGCATGGATTATTTTCTCCGGGTCCTCCCCATTTCAAAACATGCCTTTAGACTATTTGTCTGCCATAAATGTCCCCGTGATGATGAGACACTTCGTTGAACTATCATGTGTGGCCAGGTCGCTTCTGAAAAATAAGCTAATATAGCTGAGTGGGCCTCGTAAAATAAACTTCGATTTTTTTTTCGTGATTTTTTTCTACCTTTCCTATACTTTGTACTCCTATCGTGTTTTTATATTGCTTGTTGTTGTCGCTTCCTCACCCGTGCCCCTACTGGACAGCTGTGGAACAAAACGATCTTCATAGCGCATCGGATTCCTCCTCCAGCACGAATAAAGATTCTGATTCACACCATTGCATTCGGCTGCAGAGTGTCAGGTAACGAATATACTCGTGAGCAAAAATTACCCAAACTCAGCCATGCCCCGTGCGACGTGCGGCCGCAGTGCTCGTGTGAGAGAGGCTGTCCACGCACTTTGAAAATCAACAAAACCGTGGCGCCCCCACACACCGTGGCTCATCCACACACCCGGCTGTGTCCGAATCACAATCTCGCCAACAGAGACAAAGATCCCCCGTATAGCCTTCACAGGTTATTGGGGCAAGTGCTGTTAGCGAGCAGCACCTATAATGGCCGGGCACGGTACATGACAGAGTGGGTGGTCAGCACCACGCCCGGCCACCTTTGTCTCCCCAGTGGCGATGTTTACACACCGCACCAGGGACTCATT